GGAGCTCAGAGTCCGCAGGTTGGTTTCTTGCAGTTTGCGGGCCCGGTCCTCTAGGCGGCGGGCCAGGCCTGTTAGCTCTGCGTGCTTCACCTTGAGCCGCTTCACCTTCTCGTCCGCCGGGTCTGGGATGCCCGTGCGCCGCAGTTGCATGTTCTCGTCCAGCAGGTCAGAGCAGCGGCGCGCCAGCACCTGCAACGCCTCGGACAATTCCGAGTTCTGCTTCACAAGCTCTTGGTAATCCAGGCTCAGCGGCGAGAGGGCCGGGGCCTCGCCGGGCTGGCTCCTGGAGTCTTCTCCTGTCCGGTCGCTAGGACCCCTGGGCTGCGATGGTGGTAGTGGCGGTGACAGCGGCGGCGACGGTGGTGACAGCGGCGGCGGCGGCGTCGGCGGCGGCGGCGGCGGCGGGGGCGGACTCAGGAAGCCCAAGATGAAAGTGTCTGCCGAGGAAGCCCGCTCCTCGGATTCGGGGGCCTTGGGACGACCCAGAAGGCTGTCGAGCGAGTGGGAACGCGCTGGTGCCAAGGAATCGAGGGAGCCGGAGCGCGTGGGGAGCAGGTTGTCACGCGAGTTGGAGCACGCTGCGGGCACCATTTCGAGGGAGCGGGAGCGCACGCGAACGCCGGCGCTCAGGCCATCAAAGGATTCGAGTGGGACTTTGGGGGACTTTAGGGGGCGGTGAGAGTCGCTGGCGGTCTCGGGGTGCGGTTCTTCCGAAGAAGGCACCGCCTGGGGATCTGGGGTCCCGGGCAAAACCGGGTGCCAGCGGAAGTGCTCCAGGATGTACTTGAGGAAGAGCTGTCGCTCCACGTCCAGCGCCGCCTGCAGGTGGCGGATGCGCGAGGCCTGCTCGCCGTCGGTCTCCCAGCGAAGTTGCGCCAGCACTTCCTGCAGGCCACAGCAAAACTGGTAATAATAAGTGTTACGACGTGGAACAACTAGAAGGATTATCTACTCCTGATGACGATGGGCATGGTAATACTGCATTGGAAACTAACACACACGTAGCTTATGACCCAGCAGTTCCATTCTCCATTATATAACTAGAAACACTCTTGCACATCAACACCAGGATAGATGTGCCGTCGGGCCCGGACTAGCCAGCTTCTTGGGTGTCGCGCGGCTGCCACCGGAAGGGTTAGGCGAGTCCTTGGTCATGGTGGCTGCTGTCCCGCCAGGTGCCTGGAGCCTCCTGGCCCCGGCCTCCGGTCGCCAACGGATGAGGACAGTGGGGGGCGGCGGTAAAGGCATGGGGGTGAGGTGGGAACTGGGTGGAGGGGAGCTATGGGGGGAATAAAGAGGAACAACTGTAATAATCTGAGCAATAAAGATTTATTTTTAAAAGAAACAAAAAAATTTAAAAGTAAATCATGTTTCAAGCCCTCGCTCCTCTCCCAGCTGCCTAGGCCCGGGATGGGCTCTCGAAACTCCTGCTCAACCCACCCCATGTCCTTCCCAGGATGCCCCGGGGGTCTTTCTGGCTCCAGGCTTTCCCTGTTCTTGGCACCATGACCCTTACGACTGACCCCGACACTCTCCCAGGCACTGTACCATCCCTTTCAGGCCAACAGGGGCTGGTGGGAAGTCAGGCTGCTCTGCTGGGCCTGAGAAAAAGACTCCGTGTGTGGGTCAAAATCACAGAGGCTGTGAGCCAACACCACCTGGCCCTGCCATGGATTTAGGTGGCTGAAAACCTGCAACAGGATATGCCCAAACTTGGGGGTGGGCCCTGGGCTCCCAAGTAGGGGAAGGTGCATCTGGTGCCTGCACCCCGACTTGTGCCTACCTTTTCAAGGCCCCCTGTGGTGCTGAGCCCTTGCATGCATTATCTATTTAAACATCCTATGCTCACAGATGGGAACTTTTTCTTAAACCCCTTTATTACAAAATATTTCTTTTCTATTTTTTTTTTAATCCTCACCTGAGGATATTTTTTCCATTGACTTCTAGAAAGAGTGGAAGGAAGGGAGGAGGCGGAGAGAGAGAGAGAAACATCATGTGGTAAGAGAGGCGCCTGGATTGGTTGCCTCCTGCAGGCAATCCCTACCAGGGCTGGAGAACCTGCGGCCAGGGTACATGCCCTCGACCAGAATCGAACATGAAACCCTTCGGTCCAAAGGTTGGTGCTCTAACCATTGAGCCACCGGCCAAGGCAGGTGGGAACTTTTAAGCCCTGGGCATGGTGCCAGGTGAGACAGGAGAAGGCTTCTTCAAGGACCAAAGTCCTGACCTGCAAAATTCTGCTTCTAGAGTCCATGGGCACTCTAACTCTACCCACCCATTCTCAGGGTTGTCGCTTTGAGGACCCCTCCCCAGTCTTGCTCCCAGGGGGAGTCACATTCTGCATCTGCAGAAGGAGGAGGGCCAAGCAGGACCAAGCGTGTTGTGCTGGCCAGTTCCAGAGGCGGGGTGGGAAGTGGGAGAATGAGGCTGCATGGGGGCCAGTCTGCCCTTTGGGTGGCCCAGGAGTGACCGGGGCTGCCTGCTTCTAGAAAAAGGTAAAGCCAGGAGCCCCTATCGGCCCAGCTGGGTCCCCACACCACCTCCCTGGAAACAGCCAGACCAGAGAACTTCCCATGGTTCTCCCAGGGTGGTGTGATTAGCTGCTTAAGGCTGGAGGACCTCTGGAGTCCAACAGGTGTTCAGCTTCTTGTGCCACTTTCATGTCCTCGTCTATAACATGGGGCAGTAATGCGGCAGCTTTCTGGGCTGTGTGACCTCCCAGAGTTCCCTGACCTCTCTGAGCAGCCACTTCCTCTGTTTGTGAGGCTTCAATGAGGTGCGAGCACTAAGCGCCCAGAACAGAGCAAAGCTCTGGTTAGCCACTCGCTAGTTTTCATCCAAATCCCTTTTTGGCAGGTAAAGCCACCGAGGATGGCAAGGCAGGGGTCTGGCTGAGCCTGGGCAGGGCTGCCTGGTGGAAGCAGAGCAGGTACTTTCTGTGCTCCCTGGACTCACTCTGGATGCCTCAGGGCAGGTGGGAAGGGCAGGGACGGCCACTTTTTGACTGAGGAACCTTGGCTGGTTATGTCACATCTCCCAGCTCCCACATAACGTGGGTGTGGATAGCACCAGCCCTCCCGAGTTGGAGGGACACCAGGACTCTCTCAGCTGAGGGCTGGGTGTACAGTAGGAGCGGCACCAAAGTTGGGGTAAGTTCTTTTCTTCCCGCTGGACCCTCACCAGCTCCGTCCAGGAGTTCAAAGAATACCCGTGGCTCAAGGACCTCTGTTGTGCCCCCTGCCTGGGATGCCAACCATGCCTGATACTAAAATAACAACAAGCCCGGCTGGCGTGGCTCAGTGGTTGAGTGCCCACCTATGAACCAGGAGGGCACGGTTTGATTCCCGGTCAGAGCACATCCCCAGTGTGGGGCGTGCAGGAGGCAGCCGATCAATGATTCTCTCTCATCATTGATGTTCTACCCTCTGTCCCTCTCCCTTCCTCTCTGAAATCAATAAAAATCTATATTAAATAAATAAATACATACATGACCAGAACAAGACAGAGGTGGACAGGCTAGATGTGACCTCTGTCCTCGTGGAGTTTCAGTCTAAGGGAGGACACAGAGGTTAAACACCAATGTGGCAAAGGGGCGTGGGGAAGTCGGAGCTTGGGCAAGCGCTGTGAGTGAGGGGTGTGGTGCTCCTGGGGAGAAGGAGCCCATCAGAGCAGGCTCCTGAGAAACTGAGGTAGGAGAGTGTGTGAGGTCTGCTCAGAGCGGAGATTTCAGGCAGAGGGACCTGCAAAGACTCTGCTGACTGCCAGCACTGGCCCTCTCCCCTGCCCACCCCGCCCAGGGCAGGCCCACACTCCTCTGGCATTGACTCTTTTTTAAAAAACATATTTTATTGATTTTTTACAGAGAGGAAGGGAGAGGGATAGAGAGTTAGAAACATGGATGAGAGAGAAACACCGGTCAGCTGCCTCCTGCACGCCCTCTACTGGGGATGTGCCTGCAACTATGGAACATGCCCTTGACTGGAATAGAACCTGGGATCCTTCCGTCTCCAGGCCGATGCTCTATCCACTGAGCCAAACCGGTCAGGGCATGGCATTGACTCTTCACGGTTCTGCTGTGGTTCTCCTTTGCCTAAGGAGAAACTGGAGCTTGAAGAGGAAGGGGCACTTAGCAGGATCCCAATCAGGCCTGAGCACTCAGGGTCACGGGGAGGCCTGGCACTCCCACCCCTGCCCCTTCCTGGATGGGGCTGGATATGGAGGAGGACCTTGCTGCTCTCTGCCTCCGCTTCCTGGGCCCTGCAGCCTGCTCTGGACCATCCGTGCCCTCTGGGGCAGGGAATGGCACTGTGTGCCAGCTGTCAGCTCTCTGGCTGGGGCCCCTGGCCTGCTGGGCTGGCCTCTCGCCCTGGCAGCCGTGGCCTAGCTCCTCAGGCATGTGCCTCTGTGGGTGGCCAGCCTGCCCCCTCCTGTACTTTATAGGCCTTGTCCCTGTGTCCTTACTACAGCCAGGGAGGCTGGCGCTGTCCTCTGCAGAGAAGGAAACTGCCCAGGGTCACACAAGGACTTGTGCCCAGGCCTGTGTGACCCAAGTCTGGGGTCTGAACTGGTGCCACAGAACCTGGCCCACGGGCTCTGGCAGCCAGAGTGTAATTGTAATCCCCAATCCCTGGGACAAATGGCTACTCCTTCCTGAGGACCCTGCTGCTGTTGAGAGCATCACAGTTTCCCGGCTACCCAGGGTTGCCAGGACAGACGTAGCTTCCATCTTCTGCCATACCCGCTTCTCTCCCCTCTGGACCTATTCCAATCGCCCTCCTTTCTCTGCAGCCTGAAGCAGGAGGCCTTGCCTACCCCCCACTATCATCAGTGGCAATATCTATCATTTGTTCAGTCATTTACGTTATTATTTTTAAAAAATATATTTTTATTGATTTCAGAGAGGAAGGTAGAGGGAGAGTGAGAGAAACATCATCGATGAGAGAGAATCATCAATCCTGCACGCCCTGACCCGGAATCGAACCGTGACCTCCTGGTTCCTAGGTTGACGCTCAACCACTGAGCCACGCCGGCCAGGCTGTCCAAGTCATTTAGCCGTTGCTATGGGTCAGGGGGACAGTCCTTTATCAGCTGTGTGTTGAGTGTCCAACCTGGTCAGGGTGGGGTGGGGCCAGGCATCGAGTTAATTTCTTCATTCTTCAAACACAGAGAACCTCCAGTGGGCGTTTGCTGAAGGGAGGAAGGAATGAGGGAGCAAGGAAGATAGGTTAGAACAGAAGGAGGGAGAATGGGAGGGAGAGAGGGAAGGAGGGAAGGAGAAGGGAGAGTAGGAGGAAAGGAGGGAGCCCGTGGGTCAGTTGAGTCTCCCAGATCTTGGTTTACCACCCCCAGGCCAACTGCAGACTTGGGCTCCAGTCTCTGACCAGCTGGGTGAGTGAGGAAAAGGTGATTGGTCCCTTGAGCCTCAGTTTCTTCCTCTGTAAATGGGACTGATCGCATTCTGAATTCAGAGGGCGGTCGGGGTAGTTGATGCTTGTGCGTTTGCACTCAGCCCAGCACACAGCAAGCTGTCAAGTTCCCCCAGTGAGCGTGGTAAGTTGAGTCCTTAAGAACAACTAGCACTTGACAGATGGGGAAGGGGGTGTTAGGGGGAGGGAATGACAGAGGCATCACAGGCGAGGGAGAAGCATGCTCAGAGGCAGGGGTGCGGTGTGGCTGGAGCACAGCTCGTGGGAGGGATGCAGGACATGGAGCTTTGGGCCAGCAGAGGGAGGACAGGACAGAGCCTCACCAATGTGGACCAGATGGGGGTCTACCTCCAGGAACCTCGCTTCCATTTTGGGCGATGCCAGGCAAGCCAGTCTCTAGGGCCTCAGTTTCTTCATCTGGGAAACAGAATATTCTAGCATTGCTCTGTGGTGGGTGCAAATGTCCAGCGCCCAGTGGCAGGCACACAGTCAAACTTACCGAGGGTGAGTGCCCATGGCCAATTTCCTTTCTTTTTTTCTCTTTTTATATATATTTTTGTTGATTTCAGAGGGGAAGGGAGAGGGAGAGAGAGAGAGAAAGAGAGAGAGAGAGATATCAATGACGAGAGAGAATCATCGATCATCGATCGGCTGCCTCCTGCACGCCCCCCACTGGGATCGAGCCCGCAACCCGGGCATGTGCCGTTGACCGGAATCGAACCTGGGACC